TGTTCCATGGGAGAAAGATGAGGCTTTCTGCTCCCGTAAAGATTTACAGCCTCGGAAACCCTGTACAGGGTTGCTATGAGTCTGAACCAACTCCAGGGCACATAACAACAACAATAAGCCAACTTCAGCAGTCTGAAATTGATCAATCTTGTAATTAAGATGCATTGATAATTCCTGGAGAAACAAAGAAGGATTAGTATTTGGAAAATACAGCCTTGGTGACAGAAACAATGCTGGAGATTGCATGATAGAACTTTGCAAGATCAGTGTAATACCTTTTTCCAACAACATAAAAGTCACTATACACGTGGACCTAATAATCAGATGGAATAAAGAGGAATCAAATTGACTGCTTCTATGAATAAAAAAAGATGAGACACCCAGGAGCTGATTGTGGAACAGACCATCAATTGCTTATATGCAAGTTGAAATTGAAGAAAACTAAAACAAATCCAAAGAACCAAAGTATAATTTTTAGTATATCCCCCTCGAATTTAGAGAATATCTCAATAATAGACTTAATGCACAGAACACAAATAACCAAAGAAGACCAGAGGAGTTGTGGGATGACATCAAGAACATCATCACAGGAAGACAGCAAAAAATCATTAAAAAGATGTTGTTAAGTGACGTCGAGTCAGTTCTGACTTATAGCAAACTTGTATAAGGTTTCCAAGGAGCAGTTAGTGGATTTGAACCAACTTTGTGGTTCAAACATACCTTGCAATCCAGTGCTTATCCTACAGTGTCACACCAGGAAAACAAGACTATAATGGATGTAAGAAGAAACTCTGAAACTAACTCTTGCACATATAGTAGCTAAAGCAAATGGAAGAAATGATGAAATAAAAGAACTGAACAGAAGATTTAAAGTTAGTTTTAGTAGACAATGTATTATAATGAAATGTGCAAAGACCTCCTGGATCTAAAAAACCAAAAGGGAACAACATTCAAGCTTAAGAGCTGAAGAAAAAAAATAAAGCCTCAAGTTACAATATTTAAGTATCTGTGGGGGAAATATTGAATGATGGCAAACATTGAATGATGGCAGGAAGAATCAAAAGATGGAAGAAATAAACTAAAGAGAATTGGTCAGCATTCAACCAATTGATCATATGATCATGAACATATGATCGATCATGAACCGGGGTACGAAGACCTCTAAGCGGCACTGATGGGCACTGGTAAAAATCAAAGCTCCCGGAAATGCCAGAAGACCAACTGAAATTCACATGGATCTTGGCTAAAAGCAGAGAAAACCAGAAAGATGTTAAACCTGTGTTTACTGAGTATATGCAAAGGCATTCGACTGTATTAATCATAACAAATTATGAAAAACATTGCTAAGAATGAGAATTCCAAAACACTTCACTATGCTCATGTGAAGCCTTTACGTAGACCAAGAGTCACTGGACTAATAATCAAAAGGTTGGTGCCTTGAAAGATACTTCCAAAAAGTCTTGTAAACCTTAGGGAGCAGTTCTACTCCATATGCTCATATGTGGGGTTGCCATGAGTGGGAATCAACTTAACAGCAATTAATAGTAGCACCTCATTATCATCATTTTATGTCCTGGAGTTCTAAAAAAAAAGTGCATGAGTATAAAATCTGTCTTGTCCCCATGCACACTGCTCATGGCTTTCTCAAGTTGTTCTTATTTTGATCACCTAAAAACACATACCCGCTATAGCATCTCAGAAGTGTCAGTTTGGGTCATTATGGGCCCAAAAGGTTTTCTGGGAGCTCTTTCTCAGAGGTCTACATAAAACAAATTAACTGGATTGAGAGACATTTTACTGTTCATTTTATTTTGTACTCAAAAGCAGATTCTTGAAAGAAAAGGATGAATCAGGAGATGCCAAGAATTCTGTCTTCTAAATCCCTCACAGTCTCTTTGGAAAGGCCCTATGATCAATAACCAGTTACATTCCTTACTACACATCTGATGAAGGGGAGGTCTGATCCAAAGCATATATCTGAGGTAATGTTCACTTATAACAAGATCAAACAATTTAGGGGTATGGGGCTGTAATAAAATTTAAACACAAATTATACACTTTCAATTTTCTAAATCTGCCAGTTTGGGATATTTTTGTTACCTATTGAAATGATATTGCATAAAATCTAATAAAGAAATGTTTTCCAATGGTGTTTTAAGTATCTTTTCTTTTCTTTTCCTTTAGCTCAGTGAATACCTAGTATCCATCATGTGCCTTAACAAATGCTGAATTTATAATTACTGTATTAGGTGAATTTAGAGGACCATTTCTGAAAAGTTAAAATTATTATTTTTAAAAAGAGCACTTCCAGTTATTTTTGCTCAACTGTTTTCACAAGCTGAAGACATATTGCTGGAAGAAATTATAGATGAAACATATGCCTTTGTATTTTTGGATAGCTATCTCCTAAGTTTGCAAATTTAAACGCAAGAAATGAATGGGCTGTGTAAACCATTTTATTTTTTATCTTTACGCTTAATTACAAAATACAATCACTCAGAATAGCTATTTATAACTCTGTAATATTAGGGATATAAATAACACATTTAAGG